GGATGTACTCTGAGGAACTCTGGGAGGAGGATGGAGGATGGAGCAAGGGCTGTAATTTTCAGCCCGAAATAGAAGCAGCAATTTTAAGCAATTTTTAAAATTCTATTAAGGGCAATCCGTCGGTCTCCTGGAAAGAGCGGGCCTCCTTCAGAATGCTCTTAGTGATGCTGCCAGGTGCTGATGGGGTCTCCAGATGGTTCCCGTCTCCCGAACCCCAAAGCCATTATAGAGGAACCCCACCCCCCATCCCTGCCCCTTCATGCCTTTAAGCAGGAACATTCATAATGTCCTGCGTAGTGGAGAATATGTTACAAAAACCAGAAATGAGTTGTCCAGATAAAGCGAGACCTCGGAGGGGTGCCAGGCGAACTTGGTTTTGTCGGAAAAGAACCATGTGAGGGGAGTGGACTGAAAAGTTTCCCACATTGCAGCTTGTAAGCAGATGAAAGGTGCTTTGCTGACTTTTACAAGTTTCTCTTGATGGAGTCGTCATTTTGTAAAGTCCCAGGTGAGCCATGGATTCTGGGCCAAGAGAACAGACGACTGGGGGTTAGCCAGGGAGTTGTTTTCCTGCGAACTGCCCGCGGATTAGACTCCACGCTGCGGCGCGGGGGTCGTCGGGAAAGGGAACCCCTTCTCATTGTGCGCGTATCTGTAAGGAATGTCTGCAAATTCTAATGAAGCAAGACCCGAGAGAACCTACCCCAAGGTCCGGGAGCAGGGTGTCGAGCAGGGGGAGGTAGGGAATCTCGATTTCAGTTATTCCTGACATATAAGCCGTGTCTGATGGGTGAAGAAATGTCTTCATCCCTCCGGGCCTCACTGTTTGAGCCTGTGCTCTAAGGAACCCGGATTTCTCAGGGGCAGGTGCTCTCAGGTGCTGGGGGCAAAGGGCACGGCCACAGGGAGGCCGACTGGGGCTTAGGAGAAGGTAGCCTGTGGGTCAGTTGCTCTCAGGCTATTTTACCCCAACCCACAATAAGTCATTGTTTTAACATCACAGTCCAGTGTCCAGATAGGAATGCATTCTATGTGTGGTGGGAAAGGTTCGGTCGGAGCGGGCCGGGGTGGCGCACCTATGACACGAGGCCATAATGTATCAAAAGAGATTTTATTCCAGGCACCTGGGTGCACCCGTGAAGAGGGCAGGGAGCGGTAGGTTTTTATTCATTTTTGCTGGCTGCAAGCCTCTCTGCTGACGGAAGCGTCCGGTCCGCCCTTGGTTCCTCTCATGCCAGGTGTCTTCTGGTTATCTGAGCTATGCTGTGTTCAAGGCTGCAAGCTTTCTGCAAGATATCTGCTAAGCACAGTAAGTTTTTCTCTGCCCCGTTTTATTCTCTTTAACCCTTTCATGGTGCACTGATATTTTGCACATACTCAGTATCTCCTCCCTTTAATTTTATGCGGGCCCTGACCCAGTAGGTTATTTTCTCTACTTCGTATGTGGTCCCTGCAGTAGGGTGTTCATTCCACGAGGCGCTTCAGCTAGACTGTATCCGGGACTGTTGTGTGCAGGTTCATTCCCTTTGTGTGCCATCGAGTGTTCAGGAACGGGCCCCCTTGCCCATTGCTCAGATGCATTTGGGACTCCCTCACCCCAGGATCTCTGGGCTCGCTCTTCCTTCCAGCTCTCCAAGGGTCTACCTTCAGCTTGAGTGTTAAGGAATGGGGCCCCCTTGCCAATTCCTCAGATGCATCAGGGACTCCTTCACCCCAGGATCTCTGGGCTTGCTCTTCCTTCCAGCTCTCCAAGGGTCTACCTTCAGCTCTTTTCCAGGCGTCACCTTCTCCACTCACCTTTCTGACTGCCCTGTTTAAAAGTAGAGCCCATCCCCTACCCAACCAAGCTCATCCTTCATTCCACTTCCCACTTTCTGGGTTTGGGGGTTGTGATTTGGTTTTTGCCACAGCGCTTAGTTATCTTCCAGCGAACAGTATACTCTGTGATTTATTTGTTGTGTTTATTGCCCATCTCCCTCGGCTAGTTTGTAAGTTCCCTGAGGACAGAATTTTTGTTGTGTTGATTAATAACATCCCAGACAGTTGGAGAAGGCGCTGCTACATGATAGATGCCCACCGAAGACTTCGTGGAATGAATGAATGAATGAATGAATGAATGTCTTAAAATGACAGCCCCAACCCAGCCGGCATGGCTCAGTGGTTGATCATCGACCTCTGAACCAGGAGGTCACAGTTAGATTCCCGATCAGGGCACATGCCCGGGTTGTGGGCTCGATCCCCAGTGTGGGGCATGCAGGAGGCAGCTGATCAATGATTCTCTCTCATTGTTGATGTTTCTATCTCTCTCTCCCTCTCCCTCTCTGAAATCAATAAAAAATATATATATTTTTTTAAAATGATGACAGCCCCCTGCAGCTTTCTTGAATTGAGGAAAGGCCATGCCCCCACTTCTAATGGAATTTCCATTCCATTAGAATAGAGATGAGGAGGACCAGTGGGACAAGGAGATGATAGGGAATGAAAATCCCCAGAAGAAGAGGGGATCCAGGAACTAGCCTCAAGGGGACAGGCTCTGGTGACCTCTGCCCACAGGAAAACCTACCCCTTCCCCAGGGGCCGGACATGACTAGAGGACCACCCGGCTTCCTCTCACTCTGTCCCAAGCCTGAGTCTGCGTTCACTGATGCCCGGGGTGGGCCCTCCAGCACCTGGTCAGCAGCGCCCCGACGCAGGGCTCCTGGTGGGGCCCCTTGAAGATGCTCGGCTCTCAGCGCGCTGCCTGTGGCCCGTGGCTGATAAGACCACTGCGGGAGAATTTATCACCCGCTGCCTGGAGGCTGTGGCTGAGGCAGATAAGCAGCGGTCTGACACAATAAAAGCATCCTTCCTTCCTTCTTCCCTTTTCTTGCCTGAGACACAGAGTCTACCTGAATCTGTGGGGAGTGAACATTCTGGGAAAGTGAAAATGAAGACATTCCAACTTGCCTCGTCTTTGTTCTCAGACCCCTCCGTCCTTCGTGCAGGCCAGCCACGAGGACCTTTGACCCCCAAAACCCGGAGGAAAATTGCACTCACAGAAAGCCAGCCTGGGTTTCCAGCCAGAGGCTGCGATAAGGCTGGTGGGAGCTTATTTTAAGCTTTAAGCGATGCCAGTGGGGCCAAATCCGACTTGAAATATTTAATGAGGAGGTACATGAATGCATATCCCTACAATCGTTTTTTTCCTTATAGCCCATATTTAGCCTTGCGGCCAAAAAAAAACCAAACAAACAAACAAATCACCAAAACAAAACAAAAAAACAAACAAAAATCCCTGTTCCTGGGAGTTTATCTTTCAATTAGGCTCTCGGGGGTCAATTTTTAAAATGCGTTTATCCCATTGTTCAAGCCAGGAACTCTGCTTGTCAAAGGAGAGGATCTTAAATAAAATAATATGTCTGATTCCCTTGATAGTCACAGTTTCCTCCTTTTAAATTGGTTTTCCATTTTAAAAAGGCATTTTGAGGGGAGGCTGTAGAGCTGGAGGTGGGCAGAAGGGGAAGTGGGGGAAGTCTGCAAAGATGTCAGCATTAAACATTTTTAATAAAAAAAATAAATTCGAAAGCATGTCCCCTGGAAGAAATCAGGGCTGAAAATGCACTTGTGACCGCCGCACGCTGTGCAATGACTCGGTGAGAGACCCACGGAGCCGAGCTGTAACCTCAAGGAGGCGACCTCTCCGCCTCTGTCCCGCAAAGCTTTGGTCTCCCCGACTTCTCTTTCCAGTGGGAAAGGGGAAGCGCTTTTGGGGTGTCGGGCACTGTGCACCGCAGGCTCTTCCCTGGAATCCTCTGAAGCAGGTTCTGTTACCCCCATTTTCTAGTCAACAAAATGAAAAATTCAGAGTCTTATTGCACATGGAAATCGGGCTTTGGCCTCTGTCCGAGCCCCTGCCAGCGGCTGAGACAGGAACCTTCTCCGACAGCAGGGAGGCCACCGGTATGTAGATGTAGTATTTATAAATAACAAAACAAACAAAAACGCAGCTAAAAATCCCTGCCCCGTGGAATCTGCCTTTTCCGAGTGCTTTACTTGGGGATGGATGGATGGTTAACAATCCTCAGAGCCAGCTCCACTTCCGGTCCAGGAATAATAATTAGCCCCCTCGCTGTAGGGCTGGAACAGATGCATGTGTAGACGTATACGACCTGGGCTTCCGACCAGGCAGGTCTGATCTGCCAGTAAATTTAGTCCGTGTGGCAGCACGTCTCCCGACTTCCTAAGATGCCTGAGAATAAGTGTGAGTTTTTGAAGACAGAGCCTTCATCAGTTCTGTATGCCCCGCTGAACATAACACGCCCTGGGTGCTTACTGGGTGTTTAAATGAACGAGAGGCATACATCAGTTAGCATGAGGCTCTCGGAGACTGAATTAGCATCTGTGGAGTCTCGCAGTCCACGGACGTAGATGTCTCCAAAAATAATCACCCGTAGAGAAATCTCTGAAAATCAGCGAAGAGAGAGCTAAACGGAAGCCATAAATCGCTCCATTACAGTGTCAGCCAGTGACAAGCAAGTGGTTATTGGAAACAAGATCGGTGTGTAAGCTGCATTTAGCTTTGGGGCACGGAGCGCATTTGAACCAACTCTAAGTTCCTGGCGTGGTGTTTTCAAGCCGGGGAGGGGAGGTGCTGGGAAGAAAGCGAGTTGGAGGAGCATCAAAGCTCTCTCTCTGCAAACTTCATCTACATTTTTAGGAAGATGTGTTTTTGAAGAATTGGAATATCCATCACCTCCCACTGGCAGCGTTCTTCATCATGGGAGAAATTACAGCACAGCCCATCTTCCTGGGGTCTCTTCTGCTCACGTTAGGAAAACGGTTCTCGTCGCTGGGTACCACGTGTGAGGAGCAGCCCTTCGTGGCACCCCCGCTCGCCCTTCGCTGCCTTATTTACAGCCTGCAATAGGCTTGTTGAGTGCGGAGAGAGAACCCAGGCAGAATGTTAATGCAGAGAAAGGACAGAAGCCGGCGACGCCCTGGGCTGTGAGTGCACTTGAGGGTGGGAGGCCTGCCAGCCGTGGCTCTGCTCCCTGCATTAGCTCCTTGCTGGACGTCTCGTGGAGAAGGAATTAGAGCCTCGGCCATGGGCCCCTCATGGGGGAGCCAAGCGACGGTCCTTAAGTTTACAGCCTCCTGCCCAAGACCACTTAGTAGCCAGGGTCCCCAGCGTGGCTCCTGGTGGGAGCAGTGAGTAGCTGATTTGCAATGGAAATCCACGTTTTGGTATGGAGTCTCCATTTTTTAAAAAGCCCTGGCTAACCTCTCAGCTTTCCTCGGCCCCTTTTCATGACAGTCGTCTTTTCTGGAATATTTCAAACGTGAGGGATGAAACGGGGTTGTCGGTAGAACTAGATCCCCCTCTCGGGGGGCTCAGCCGTTGGGATGCTGGCATCTTCCTCCCCAGGTAGTTCGAGCAAAGACCTGCCCTGCCGGCGTGCGTCTGCGTGGATGTCTGATATGGGGGAAGCTAGGGGCTAAAACCGGGGCAGAATAAGCAATGCAGATGCATTAGGCAGGAAGCCAGGGCGGATCAGGAAAAGTCTGGAATTATGGAAGGTTGAAGGGAAGCACTTTCGCTTGGTTTGCAGCATGGGCAGTGGCCTGCTTTAACGTCTGGGTATGACTGGCTCGTAAATGATAGATGGTTTGCTTGGATGCGAATGGAGCCTGAAACGAATCTATATTCCCTTCCAGCGATGAAACACACACCCTCCACCCCCGCTTTCTTCACCCTGTTCAGACCCCTTCTCCTTAACCCACAGCACAGAAGTGTATCATAGCCCAGTCTCCTTTGAATTGGTCCTTGGGCTCCATGGATGAAGTTGGGCCTTACCTGTGACCAGGTGTAGTATAGTGCCCGGAGTGGATAAAGGGATGTTGGAGAGGCTGGTGTAAGATACCCAGCAACCAGATGGGGGGGAGCTTTTAAGTGTTCCTTCGCTCAACAAGACTTAAAGACAGGAAACGGTTATTTCCTATTCCTCCACCAACCCACCCCATCACTGCCATGCCCATTTGATAATCCATATAAGTATTTAGAACGGCTTTATTTAGGGTTCTAGGAGGTACTTTCTTACCTTGAAGAGGAAAGAAAGCTTTCTATTTGATATATGAGAGGATGGACAATCATGTATATAATATAAATTGATGTCTATATTAGGGGAATGCAGGTATGTTTCTAAACACTCATTAATAAAAATGGTTAATGAAAGGTGCCAAAAATCCACTGTGCAGAGCCCTGAATAAGGCACCTAGCTTTTCTCCCTTTTTTGTTGTGTCGTTGGTGCTAAATGGCTTCACTTTCGCACTGCCTGATGAAAAGAGAGACCCAGAGTGTCTGGTGAGGAGAAGGTTCGTGATGTGCCTGGATTAAGATGCCCACCCCGCCCCCTCTGGAAGGAGCCTGTCCGGCCTCTCTCCACAGCCCTCAGCGACCTCAGGGTTTCACAGGAGCCAACATGCTGAGAGTCCTGTGGATCTCAGCCATCTGCTGCCCACACAGTCCTCATAGGAGCTTCCGGGGCAGTTACAGTTGTCGAGATGCCGTATGGGAAGCACGTGGGCCTTGGGCTGGCCCATCACAAGAGGCCCAGCCCTCTGTCCTGCTCTGCCATGCTGCCGTCACTGCTGTTTAGCCACGTTAGGTGACCCAAGTGTTGCTTTATTTAAAACTGAACAAGACCTAGCCTCTTTGAAAATACACCAATAAACTCGTCGCTCAAATGTTCCCCTACCCTCGTGCCTTACCTATGGCCTTAGACCGCTTTTCATTCCCAGAAACAGGTGGTTTGCTTCAAAAATTCATGCTTGAGCGGCGTCCAAAAGCTGGAGATGATAGCTGTCAAACACAGATTTGCAAAGGAGGGAGGGTGCTGTGATCGGGTATGTTCTCTGGCAAGGGGAGACGTCCACTCCAATCCACGCCCGTCCATCCCTGTGACTGCTCCTTCCAGTGAGTGAATGAACTTCAGCAAACGGCGTGTCTGTGACAGCTGTTTGACTCATCCTGGAGCCCAGTAGTTTAAAGCTGATGACCCTGGCTCTTCATTTAACTTCTTAAGTGCACCATTTTGGATTGATATAGATGCTATGGAGGCAGGCAGCCGGCCAAATTCTTCTGGGTCCCAGATCTGGACGTTAGATGGTAAATGTGGTATTTACCAATATGCTCACCGTGAATTAGCCACGATTCAATTGTTACTGTTTGTGGAAGGGGATGGCTTTTAAAATCTTACTTATACAATTGACTTGCTTTTCAAAAGCACAGTAAAATCATGCTTCCATCATTAAAGTACATACACTCATTATAGAACATTTGGAAAATATAGAAGAGGGAAAAATTCTTCCATATTTCCTTCTGTCATAAGTAATCATTATTAGCTATTGGTGTGTTTCCTTCTATATTCTTTTCTGTACATATGTAATGGAGGCTTTTTGTTCTTGCAACCATGATAACATTTGTTGTTTTGCATCCTACTTTTCCCCCACTTGTATTAATAAGTATTTTCCCATGTTGTTATAAGCTCTTAATAAGCATGCTTAATGATTGCATGATATCCTCTCAAATGGATGCACCTTATTTTACTTAGGTTACATCTATTAGTGAACATTTAGAACAGGGGTCCTCAAACTACGGCCCGCAGGCCACATGCAAATACAAATATTGTATTTGTTCCTGTTTTGTTTTTTACTTCAAAATTAGATATGTGTAGTGTGCATAGGAATTTGTTCATAGTTTTTTTTTAAACTATAGTCCGGCCCTCCAACGGTCTGAGGGACAGTGAACTGGCCCCCTGTTTAAAAAGTTTGAGGACCCCTGATTTAGATTCTACTGTGGGATTCTTAACAGATAAAGTGGTAATGGTCTTTAAAGTTTTGTTTCTTATTTTGGACTAGAGGCCCAGTGCACGACATTTGTGCACTTGTGGGGGGAGGGTCTCTTAGCTCAGCCTGCACCCCTATCACAGTTTGGGACCCCTCAGAAGACATCCCCCAAGGGGTCCTTAGCACTCTGTGGAGGTGGGAGAGGCTTCTGCCACTGCTGCTGCACTTGCCAGCCGTGAGCCCAACTTCTGGCTGAGTGGCACTCCCCCTGTGTTGAGTGTCTGCCTCCTGGTGATCAGTGCACATCATAGTGACCATTTGTTCCGCTGTTCGGTCGATTTGCATATTAGGGTTTTATTATATAGGAGGGTTTTATTATATCCTATTATAATATTTATTATATAGGATATAATAAAACCC